CTTCATTGTGGTTTTGATTTGCATTTCCCTGATGATTAATGATGTTGAGCACCTTTTCATGTATCTGGTGGAAATCTATGTTTTCCTTGGAAAAATGTCTATTCAAACCCTCTGCCCATTTTTAAAATCGAATTGTTTGTTTTTTTGCTATTGAGTTGTATGAGTTCTTTGTATGTTTTGGATATTAACCCCTTATCAGTAATATGATTTGCAAACATTTTCTCCATTAGAAGGTTGCCTTTTCATTTTGCTGATGGTTTTTTTGTTTGATGTAGTCCCACTTGTTTGTTTTGTTTTGTTTTCTGCTTTTGTTGCTTTTGCTTTTTTGTGCTAAATCCAAAAAAAAAATCACTGCCAAGAAGGATATCAAGTTGCTTACCCACTGTATTATCTTCTAGGAGTTTTATGTTTTCAGGTTTTATGTTCAAGTCTTTAATCCATTTTGAGTTTTGTGTATGGTGCAAAATAGTGGTCTAGTTTCATGCTTTTGCATGTGGCTGTCCATTTTCCCAACACTATCTATTGAAGAGACTGTCCTTACTACATTGTATATTCTTGGCTCCATTGTCATAAATTGACCATAAGTACTTGAGTTTATTTCTGGGCTGTCTATTCTGTTCCTTTCTCTGTGTGTGTGTTTTTTAAAAAACCAATACCACATTGGTTCAATTACTATAGCTTTGTAATATAATTTGGAATCAGGAAGCATGATGCCTCCAGCTTTATTTTTCTCTCTCAAAATTTCTTTGGCTATTTGGGGCCTTTTGTGATTCCATACAAATTTTAGGATTGTTTTTTTCTATTTCTCTGAAAGATGCCATTGGATGGGAATTTTGATAGGGATTACCCTGAATCTGTAGGTTGTTTTGGGTAGCATTCTTCCAATCCATGAACATGGAATTACCTTTCCATTTATTTATTTCGTCTTCACTTTCTTTCATCAGTGTCTTATATTTTTTGGTGTACAGGTCTTTCACCTCCTTGGCTCAATTTATTCCTAGGTATTTTATTCTTTTTGATGCACTTGTAAACGGGATTGTTCTCATAATTTTTCTTTCTGAGTGTTCATTATTAGTCCATAGAAATACAACTGATTTTTTGTATATTGATTTTGTATCCTGCAACTTTATTATATTTGTTTATTACTTATAATAGTTTTTTGGTGGAATCATTAGGCTTTTCTTGTATCTAATATCACATCTGCAAATAGTGACAGTTTTGCTTCTTTTCTCATTTAGATGTCTTTTATTTCTTTTTTCTGTTCTCTCTCTTTTTTTTTTTTTTTAACATGTAATTGCTCTGGCTAAGACTTCTAATACTGTGTTGAATGAAAGTGGCAAGAGTGGGTATCCTTGTCTTGTTCCTGTTCTTGGAGGAAAAGCTTTCAGCTTTTCACCATTAAGTATGATATTTGCTGTGGACTTGTTATATATGACCTTTATTATGCTGAGGTATGTTCCCTCTATATCCAGTTTACTGAGAATTTTTATCATAAATGGATGTGTAATTTTGTCAGATGCTTTTTATGCATCTATTGAGATGATCATATGTGTTTTATCCCTCATTTTGTTAATATGATGTATCACATTAATTGTTTTGGGGATGGTGAACCATTGCATCCATGGAATAAATCCCACTTGGTCATGGTGTATGATCCTTTTAATGTATTGTTGAATTCAGTTTGCTAATATTTTGTTGAGAATTTTTGAACCTGTGTATGTATTTCTTCTTTTGTTTCTGCAAAAAGAATTACATAAATTTGCTACATAAGTGAGACAAAGTCACAGTTTTATCACACTTCTAGGCATGTAGGCATAAGTAGAGAGTGCTAGTGGTCACCATGTGATTTGACATATCTAACTTTTCAAAGCTTTGGAGATTACATAGATATCAAATAAACAATTACCAGGAGAACAAATCATGAATCAAGACTGCTGATCAGAGATTCATGGTTTTTTAAGAAGTGGTGGTTTCTTTCAGAGGACATAGGAATGATCTGGGAAATCCAGGTATCACACAAGACCTCATTATACAAATTACACTTGAAAGGACAGTTTTGTAGAAACAGAAATAAATATGCATGTAACTCTCTGTGTTGGACAGGGGAACAAGATTAAGCCTTTATGCTCAAATTGTCACATATTAGATAGATTCTAGTTATATGTCTGCAGCTTTGTGTAGAGGTCAAGGAGATATGTCCTTTCATTTTTGAGAATCTTTGTGACAAATATTATTGAGGAAAAATTGTAATCTCAAGGCTGGACTCTGAAATGAGTTAACATTATAGGAAAGAACAGACCTGAAAATCTCAAATTTCACTGTAGCACAAAGGTGAAGCATAGAGGGAATTTTTAAAAAATAATGAAACAAGGGATGTGAAATATTCTTTACCATTTCATAAATTAGCAGACAGCTTTTATTAGGTATCATTAGGTGCTTTTTATATGGCACTGAAAATGCTTTATGTCTTTTATTTAATTTGGTCCAGACAGCAACACTTTGAGGTAGGTCATATTGTTATTTCCATTTTACTGATGAGGAAATTAAGGCAGTTAAGTAACTTAGTAAAAGGTTACACAGTAACAGCCAAAGATAAGATTTGCAAACTGAATTTTGGATGATAGATTTTATGTTCTTTATCATGATAGTACACAACCTCCAATGATTTTAAAAATCTGATTGTTTGATGAGTAATTCATCAAAATATTTTCCCCCAACATTTAATATGAATCAATGTTATCATTGTTAAATACTGCATAGATATTGCTAACATATAGCTCACCACACTTTAACCTGTTGTCTATCCATAGATATTTAGAATTATCATAAACTACACTGATGTAGGTCATTGTAATAGAATTTTGTCTACTTTTTTATGTTACTTAAGGAAAAATTTCCAGAAGTTGCATTTACAGATTAAATATTTATTAAATGCCTATAATATGCCAATTTTATTCATGTTATTGGTGTGGATATTAGCATTAAAGAGACATAGTTGCTGTCCCTTAACTTGTTTATAACTGATCACATAATATAAACTGCGAATAGGACTAAAAGTATAGTAGGGTATGATAATGATCATTAAAGAAATTGGATGACATGCATTTGAAGTTGATGAGGAGAGATGTCATGGAGACAAACCCAAGGCTGTTAGGTTTTTACCAACATATACTAAAGCCATGGATTGTCAGGGTTTACCAAAACCATCCTCAGATTGACGATTTGCTAGGACTCACAAAATCCAGAAAAACTGTTGTGCTTGTGTTCATGGTTTATTACAGTCAAAGGATACAGATTAAGATCAGCAAAGAGAAAAATCCAGGAGAAACTAGTTGTGAGCTTCCAGTGGAGTCATATAGACAGCACTAAATTCTGCCAGCACCATTTTGTAACAACACATGTGAAGTAGGTCAGGGAAACTCACCTGAGCCTTGATGTCCAGACTCTTTATTGAGAGTGAGTCACACAGTCATGGAGTAACTGTGTGACTAGGCTTAGCTGCTACAGAGGTCAAATTGATACAGTGCATCCCAGGACCCCTGGCCAACAAAAATAGGTGTTTACCATAAATCGCATTTATAGCATAAATTATCTCTCTGGCATAGCCCAGATATGCTCTTATCAAGCAGGATATTGTAAGGGCTCAGAGGTTGTCTCCCAGGAGCTGTTCAAGGGCCATTCCTTTCTTTGGAAAGAGCAGGGTTTGGGTACTCCAGACCCATTGAGTTCATTGTTTACTGCACCCATGAGATATCCATGAACATGAATGGATTTATTTAATAACTTTCATGCTTTAGTAAATTTTGGTAGGTTATAGATTGTTTCTAACTTGCCAGTGAACTACTACCCATGCTCAGATTTCAATCCATAAAGAAGAAATTCTGAACTAAAGAGACAAGAATGAGAGTTAGAACTGGCTTTGTAGTAAGAGGAATATGAGTTCAAAACTCAGCTGTGCCACTTTGTGGGTTTGGTTTTTTTCTGAGATGTAACTTAGTGTAAACTATACAAACCATATTCTAAAACTGGATTGTTTTTAACATTTATGTATATCTATGAAGCCATTACACAGCTAAGATACAGCATATTTCCAACACTCCAGGATGCTCCCTTCTGTTTCCTTCCAGTCATTACCAACTTGCCTTTACCCCCAACAAAGGTAACCAATATTCTTTTCACTATTACAATAGATAAGTTTTAACTAATTTGGAAGTTCATATAAATAGAATCGTACATTATGTACTTTTTTTTTTTTTTTTTTGCCGTGCTGTGTGGCATGTGGGATCTTGGTTTCCCAACTAGGGATCGAACCTGCACCCCCTGCAGTGGAAGCACAGAGTCTTAACTACTGGACAGCCAGGGAAGTCCCCCATTATGTACATTTTTTTCTGCCCTCTTTTGCTCAACCTCATGTTTATGAAAATCATCTGCTGTTTGTTCAGTTTTATTCTTAAGTAATCTTCCACTATAGGAATGTATCTCATTTAATTTTTCCCTACTTCTGTTGATGGATGTTTGGGTTGTTAACAGTTTCAGGACAGTATAAAGAAATGCAGCTAAAATAATTCTTTTACATACTTTTTGGATGGAAAAACTAATTTCTGTTGGGCATATACACAAGAGTGGAATTGCTAAGTCACAGTATATATGTTTTTTTTAGTAGATTGTGTCAAATAGTTGCCCAAAGTAACTGAAATAGTTTACACTCAACAACAAGGGGTTTACAGTTGTAACAGGTGAAAAATGCATAAACTAACTTCTACAGTAGGGGTTAACAAGTTTTTTTTTTTCTGTAAAGGACAGATATTAAATATTTTAGGCTTTGTGGATTACACAGTCTCTGTCACACCTACTCAACTCTACCATTGTAGCACATAAACAGCTATAGATGATATGTAGCTTTGTTATATTAATCCTGTTTATCACTTTTCATTCTGTTTATTTGAACCTGTGGATTCAGATTACCATCTGGATTCGTTTCCTTTGCCCAATGAAGCTTTTCTTCTACCTATCTCCTTTGTGTTATTATTGTCGAACATACTACATTTATATATGTTGCAGGCCCAATAATACCTGTTATGTGTGTGTATATATATGTATATAATATATATATATATATTTTTTGCGGTACGCGGGGCTCTCACTGTTGTGGCCTCTCCCGCTGCGGAGCACAGGATCCGGACGCACAGGCTCAGTGGCCATGGCTCACGGGCCCAGCCTCTCCGCGGCACGTGGAATCTTCCCAGACCGGGGCACGAATCCGTGTCCCCTGCATCGGCAGGCGGACTCTCAACCACTGCGCCACCAGGGAAGCCCATGTATATAATATTTATGTATGTGTATACATATATATGAATTACTTTATACAGTTGATTTTAAAAAAATTTTTAATTTATTTTTGGCTGCACTTGGTCTTTTGTTGCTGCGTGCAGGCTTTCTCTAGTTGCGGCGAGCAGGGGCTACTCTTCGTTGCAGTGCGCAGCCTTCTCATTGCGGTGGCTTCTCTTGTTGCAGAGCACGAGTTCTAGGTGTGCGGGCTTCAGTAGTTGTGGCTCGCGGGCTCTAGAGCACAGGCTCAGTTGTTGTGGCGTACGGGCTTAGTTGCTCCACGGCATGTGAGATCTTCCCAGACCAGGGCTCACACCCGTGTCCCCTGTATTGGAAGGCAGATTCTTTACCACTGGACCACCAGAGAAGTCCTGGAAACTTTTCATCCATTATTTATTTGAATATATTAAAATGCGCCTTTCCTCTTTTCTGTTACACTTATTACATGCGTATGCTTAATGGTGTCCAACATTTCTCTGATGCTCTTTTCATTTTTCTTCCTTGTGTTTTCTTCCTTTGTTCTTCAGATTGCATGATCTCTATCATGTTATCTTTAAGTTTTCTAGTACTTTTTTTTCTGCCCAGTTCACATCTACAGTTGAGTTACTCTAGTGAAATTTTCATTTCAGTTAATACTTTTCAACTCCAGAATTTCCATCTGGTGATATTAAATAACTTCTATCTCTTCACTGATTCTTTATTTGATATGACATTGTGATCATACCTTCATTTACTTTAAGCATGGGTTCCTTTGTTTATTGAACATATTTATAATGGCTACTTTGAAGTCTTTGTTAAATCTGGTTGCTTTCTCACAGGCAGTTTCTGTTGTCTGTTTGGTTTTGGCTTTAGTGTTTTTGGTTTATGGGTTATATTTTCCTATTTCTTCACCTGTCTCTTGTTTGTGGAAAGTAGATATTTTAGATAGTTGTAACTCTGGTACTTTTGTCTACTTCTTCTCCCCAGGCCTGTTATTGTTATTTGCTTTCTTATTTAGTGACTGGCTAGATTAATGAAGTGAAATCTATCTCACCCATAGTGTAAATCTCTGATGTTGCTCCTTGGGGTATAGACTTTGCTATTACCACAGTTACCCTTGGATGACAGTGGTTTTGACAGGGCTGTCTTCGAGTGTCTCTTTACCTGACCACACCAAGCTGTTAGGATCCACTGATTGTGACCTATAGCACTATTGTCTTCAGTAATGCTGTGGGGTTACACTGCTTCGCAGACTAATGAAATAAGGTCAGTGTCTGAGATTTGTTCTGACAATAGGAAGGCCTCCCCAAGTATCTTTCTCTGATCCTTTCTGACAAACTAGCCAGCTTACAGTTTAGCATTTAACTCCAATGAATTTTTCAATCTTCTTGCAATAGCCTTTCACCAAAATTTCCAGTGTTTTTGAGAATGTCCTTACCCTTGAACTTCTTCACACTCTGTTGCAAATGAAGGCAGTTCCTTTGGAGAGGGCTCTGGAGGGGATTGGGCAGCAGTCCTAGGTCTCAACTTGCCTCTCGTGGCATGGAACTCCTGCCCTATGAGCCAAGGCAAAGACAGTTGGAACCCCAGTATTCTCAGCAGTGCCACACCCATGGTACAACATACAATTCTTGTGTGGCTACTAGGCAGAAGAAAATCTCCATTCCTTTGTTGCATTTGCCTGAGCAACAGGTAGCTGGGGGCAGAATGAGAAATGCTGATGTTCTACTCCTCCCAGGAAGATAGTTATCTGACTGGGAACAGGGCATGAGTGGTGAGGAAGTTTGTGTCCTTGACTGTACTAGTTTGCAGTGGAATCTTTTTCTCACTAGGATGGGATGGACAAGGAAGGGTGCAGGTTAGATTAAGATACTGCAGACTTTCACAGTTCTTAATAAGTTTTAGTAGATTTACAAATGTTTCTTCATTTGCTCTATGTTTTTATATATAATTTTTACCAGTTTCAATGGGGAGCATGTCGGTGGAGCTCCTCATGCTGTCATACCAGAAGTGGAATTCCCTGATCAATTCTTTACAGTTCTAACCATGGACCATGTAAGTTGCTATTTCTCTCTCCTTTGTGAACATGTCATTTGTCTGAATCTTCCCAGAAAGCAGCCCTAAGAGCCTACCCCACATCCCCATAAAAATCCCCATTTTCACTTTCTAGTGAGAGTTGGATTCAAACAGCACACAGTACCTCCTATGTGCCTATCTATTCTCCAAATAATGTTCAACATTCCTATGTGTGTTCAGTGTTTTGTTCAGAGCAGCTATAGGGTAGAAATGGAATCCCTAGATGGAGGCATTTACCAGCCTTTTTCATACTCTTGGGTAGAGAGAAAGAGCAAATGGATCCATTTGATGACATATGGGCAAAGTCTGTACTTCTGAACAGACCTATTTTTCCAGGTAGACTGGATTTGATGTTGACTAGTCTCAGTCAGACATAAATAGATTACTATAGATTTCAGAATTGGAGGAGATCTTATCCAACTTATATGTCTAAATATAATTAAGGCTGATATATTTCCACCAAGCAGACTACTCTGTAGCCACTAAAAAGCATTTAATAAATAATTTTTCATTAGAAGTTATAATTCTTATATAATGTGAAATGGTGATTAACAGTGATGAACTTGGGGTTGTAAGAAAATTTTAAATATTGTTCATATCCCATTTTCTAAGCTAGATATTTTTCCTTTACAGAGGAACGAGGATGTAGAAATTCACTATTATTGATAATACATTCAGCAGGCATGTAGCATGCAGCGTTCATGTATACACTATTTCTTTTAATTTGTAAATTGATTATTTTGTTTATTTCCAGACGTGCTTAGCTAAGAAATCCCATAGCATGCAGGAAGATTTCTCTGAATCAAAAGGATTCTTTAAAGACCTGTAGATAGTCTGGTTTGGAAGCATTAATTTCCTTACTTCCCATACCATAGGCTTCTACCCCTGGCCGATGTACTTACTATTAGACCCCTTCCTGTAATACAATTCTTTTTCTTTTTTTTTAAATTTATATTATTGAAGTATAGTTGATTTACAATGTTGTGTTAATTTCTGTTGTACAGCAAAGTGATTCAGTTATATAGATATATATTCTTTTTCATATTCTTTTCCATTATGGTTTATTACAGGATATTGAATATAGTTCCCTGTGCTATACAGTAGTCCCTTATTGTTTATCCATTCTATATAAAATAGTTTAATTCAATTCTTTATTTCTTATCTTTTACTCAAAAATGTTTCCTTCAATTTTACTTATGTGGTTTGTTGTTTCAGGAATTGGTGACATTCAGGGATGTGGTCATCAGCTTCTCTCAGGAGGAATGGGAGTATCTGGATTCTGCTCAGAGGGACTTGTACTGGGATGTGATGATGGAAAATTACAGCAACTTGGTCTCACTGGGTAAATTTAGCTGTTTACATAATTTAGAATATGTTCTATAGAATATCAGTTGACATTCAGTGAACTCACAGCTATCTTTTAAGAAACTTCATGTAATTTCTATGAAGTCCCTTCTCAGTCTCTTATAATTTCTACCTTCATTTATTTTTGGCTGTGTTGGGACTTTGTTGCTGCGTGTAGGCTTTCTCTAGTTGCATTGAGTGGGGAACTACTTTTCAGTGCAGTGCGCATGCTTCCCATTGCTGTGGCTTCTCTTATTGTGGAGCATGGGCTCTAGGCACGCAGGCTTCAGTAGTTGTGGCACGAGGGCTCAGTAGTTGTGGCTTGCAGGCTGTAGAGCACAGGCTCAGTAGTTGTGGCACATGGGTTTTTTGGTTTTTTTTTTACATCTTTATTAGTATGATTGCTTTAAAATGGTGTGTTAGTTTCTGCTTTATAACAAAGTGAATCAGTTATACACATACATATGTTCGCATATCTCTTCCCTCTTGTGTCTCCCTCCCTCCCACCCTCCCTATCCCACCCCTCTAGGTGGTCACAAAGCACCAAGCTGATCTCCCTGTGCTATGCGGCTGCTTTCCACTAGCTATCTGCCTTACATTTGGTAGTGTATATATGTCCATTCCTCTCTCTCGCTTTGTCACAGTTCACCCTTCCCCCTCCCCATATCCTCAAGTCCATTCTCTAGTAGGTCTGTGTCTTTATTCCTGTCTTACCCCTAGGTTCTTCATGACATTTTCTTTTTCTTCACTTCCATATATATGTGTTAGCATACGGTATTTGTCTTTCTCTTTCTGACTTACTTCACTCTGTATGACAGACTCTAGGTCCATCCACCTCATTACAAATAGCTCAATTTCGTTTCTTTTTATGGCTCAGTAATATTTCATTGTATATATGTGCCACATCTTCTTTATCCATTCATCCGATGATGGACACTTAGGTTGTTTCCATCTCGAGCTATTGTAAATAGAGCTGCAATGAACATTTTGGTACATGACTCTTTTTGAATTATGGTTTTCTCAGGGTATATGCCCAGTAGTGGGATTGCTGGGTCGTATGGTAGTTCTATTTTTAGTTTTTTAAGGCACCTCCATACTGTTCTCCGTGGCTGTACCAATTCACAATTCCACCAACAGTGCAAGAGTGTTCCCTTTTCTCCACACCATCTCCAGCATTTATTGTTTGCAGATTTTTTGATGATGGCCATTCTGACTGGTGTGAGATGATATCTCATTGTAGTTTTGATTTGCATTTCTCTAATGGTTAATGATGTTGAGCGTGCTTTCATGTGTTTGTTGGCAGTCTGTATTTCTTCTTTGGAGAAATGTCTATTTAGGTCTTCTGCCCATTTTTGGATTGGGTTGTTTGTTTTATTGTGTTTGAGCTGCATGAGCTGCTTATAAATTTTGGAGATTAATCCTTTGTCGGTTGCTTCATTTGCAAATATTTTCTCCCATTCTGAGGGTTGTCTTTTGGTCTTGTTTATGGTTTCCTTTGCTGTGCAAAAGCTTGTAAGTTTCATTAGGTCCCATTTGTTTATTTTTGTTTTTATTTCCATTTCTCTAGGAGGTGGGTAAAAAAGGGTCTTGCTGTGATTTATGTCATAGAGGGTTTTGCCTATGTTTTCATCTAAGAGTTTGATAGTTTCTGGCCTTACATTTAGGTCTTTAACCCATTTTGAGCTTGTTTTTGTGTATGGTGTTAGGGAGTGATATAATCTCATACTTTTACATGTACCTGTCCAGTTTTCCCAGCACCAGTTATTGAAGATGCTGTCCTTTCTCCACTGTACATTCCTGCCTCCTTTATCAAAGATAAGGTGACCATATGTGCGTGGGTTTATCTCTGGGCTTTCTATCCTGTTCCATTCATCTATCTTTCTGTTTTTGTGCCAGTACCATACTCTCTTGATTACTGTAGCTTTGTAGTATAGTCTGAAGTCAGGGAGCCTGATTCCTCCAGCTCCATTTTTCGTTCTCAAGATTGCTTTGGCTATGCAGGATCTTTAGTGTTTCCATACAAATTGTGAAATTTTTTGTTCTAGTTCTGTGAAAAATGCCAGTGGTAGTTTGATGGGGATTGCATTGAATCTGTAGATTGCTTTGGGTAGTAGAGTCATTTTCACAATGTTGATTCTTCCAATCTAAGAACATGGTATATCTCTCCATCTCTTTGTATCATCCTTAATTTCTTTCATCAGTGTCTTATAATTTTCTGCATACAGGTCTTTTGTCTCCTTAGGTAGGTTTATTCCTAGGTATTTTATTCTTTTTGTTGCAGTGGTAAATGGGAGTGATTTCTTGATTTCATGTTAAGATTTTTCATCATTAGTGTATAGGAATGCCAGAGATTTCTGTGCATTAATTTTGTATCCTGCTACTTTACCAAATTCATTGATTAGCTCTAGTAGTTTTCTGGTAGCATCTTTAGGATTCTCTATGTATAGTATCATGTCATTTGCAAACAGTGACAGCTTTACTTCTCCTTTTCCAATTTGGATTCCTTTTATTTCCTTTTTTTCTCTGATTGCTGTGGCTAAAACTTACAAAACTATGTTGAATAAGAGTGGTGAGAGTGGGCAACCTTGTCTTTTTCCTGATCTTAGTGGAAATGGTTTCAGTTTTTCACCATTGAGGATGCTGTTGGCTGTGGGTTTGTCATATATGGCCTTTATTATGTTGAGAAAAGTTCCCTCTATGCCTACTTTCTGCAGGGTTTTTATCATAAATGGGTGTTGAATTTTGTCGAAAGCTTTCTCTGCATCTGTTGAGATGATCATATGGTTTTTCTCCTTCAATTTGTTAATATGGTTTATCACATTGATTGATTTGCATATATTGAAGAATCCTTGCATTCCTGGAATAAACCCCACTTGATCATGGTGTATCATCCTTTTAATGTGCTGTTGGATTCTGTTTGCTAGTATTTTGTTGAGGATGTTTGCATCTATGTTCATCAGTGATATTGGCCTGTAGTTTTCTTTCTTTGTGGCATCCTTGTCTGGTTTTGGTATCAAGGTGATGGTGGCCTCATAGAATAAGTTTGGGAGTGTTCCTCCCTCTGCTATATTTTGGAAGAGTTTGAGAAGGATAGGTGTTAGCTCTTCTCTAAATGTTTGATAGAATTCACCTGTGAAGCCATCTGGTCCTGGGCTTTTGTTTGTTGGAAGATTTTTAATCACAGTTTCAATTTCAGTGCTTGTGATTGGTCTGTTCATATTTCCTATTTCTTCCTGATTCAGTCTTGGCACATTGTGCATTTCTAAGAATTTGTCCATTTCTTCCAGGTTGTCCATTTTATTGGCATAGAGTTGCTTGTAGTAATCCCTCATGATCTTTTGTATTTCTGCGGTGTCAGTTGTTACTTCTCCTTTTTCATTTCTAATTCTATTGATTTGAGTCTGCTCCCTTTTTTTCTTGATGAGTCTGCCTAGTGGTTTATCAATTTTGTTTGTCTTCTCAAAGAACCAGCTTTTAGTTTTATTGATCTTTGCTATCGTTTCCTTCATTTCTTTTTCATTTATTTCTGATCTGATTTTTATGATTTCTTTCCTTCTGCTAACTTTGGGGTTTTTTTGTTCTTCTTTCCCTAATTGTTTTAGGTGCAAGGTTAGATTGTTTATTTGAGATGTTTCCTGTTTCTTAAGGTAGGATTGTACTGCTATAAACTTCCCTCTTAGAACTGCTTTTGCTGCATCCCATAGGTTTTGTGTTGTCGTGTCTCCATTGTCATTTGTTTCTAGGTATTTTTTGATTTCCTCTTTGATTTCTTCAGTGATCATTTCGTTATTAAGTAGTGTATTGTTTAGCCTCCATGTGTTTGTATTTTTTACAGATCTTTTCCTGTAATTGATGTCTAGTCTCATAGTGTTGTGGTCAGAAAAGATACTTGATACAATTTCAATTTTCTAAAATTTACCAGGGCTTGATCTGTGACCCAAGATATGATCTATCCTGGAGAATGTTCCATGAGCACTAGAGAAAAATGTGTATTCTGTTGTTTTTGGATGGACTGTCCTATAAATATCAATTAAGTCCATCTTGTTTAATGTATCAGTTAAAGCTTGTGTTTCCTTATTTATTTTCATTTTGGATGATCTGTCCATTGGGGAAAGTGGGGTGTTAAAGTCCCCTACTATGAATGTGTTACTGTCGATTTCCCCTTTTATGGCTGTTAGTATTTGCCTTATGTATTGAGGTGCTCCTATGTTGGGTGCATAAATATTTACAATTGTTATATCTTCGTCTTGGATAGATCCCTTGATCATTAGGTAGTGTCCTTCTTTGTCTCTTCTAATAGACTTTATTTTAAAGTCTATTTTGTGTCATATGAGAATTGCTACTCCAGCTTTCTTTTGGTTTCCATTTGCATGGAATATCTTTTTTCATCCCCTTACTTTCAGTCTGTATGTGCCTCTAGGTCTGAACTGGGTCTCTTGTAGACAGCATATATATGGGTCTTGTTTTTGTATCCATTCAGCCAGTCTGTGTCTTTTGGTGGGAGCATTTAGTCCATTTACATTTAAGGTAATTATCGATATGTATGTTCCTATTCCCATTTTCTTAATTGTTTTGGGTTCGTTATTGTAGATCTTTTCCTTCTCTTGTGTTTCTTGCCTAGAGAAGTTCCTTTAGCATTTGTTGTAAAGCTGGTTTGGTGGTGCTGAACTCTCTCAGCTTTTGCTTGTCTGTAAAGATTTTAATTTCTCCATCAAATCTGAATGAGATCCTTGCTGGGTAGAGTAATCTTGGTTGCAGGTTTTTCTCCTTCATCACTTTAAAGATGTCCTGCCACTCCCTTCTGGCTTGCAGAGTTTCTGCTGAAAGATCAGCTGTTAAGCTTATGGGTATTCCCTTGTGTGTTATTTGTTGTTTATCCCTTGCTGCTTTTAATATGTTTTCTTTGTATTTAATTTTTGACAGTTTGATTACTATGTGTCTTGGCATATTTCTCCTTGAATTTATCCTGTATGGGACTCTCTGTGCTTCCTGGACTTG